GGACGACAGAAACCATTGCTGTTTTTTTTTGCCCCCGCCCCGTTGTGGCGTGATACTTAGCAACGACCCGCACCATTTTTTTTTTTTGTGGTTCATCTTGCTGTCCACCACCGGGATGTTGCCTGACTATCTTCCGTCGTTGCCGCAGGGTCTCCCTGGAGGACACTTGTGCCACATCACCAGTCCTAAGGCGTTCTCGGAAGCGGTCACGGACTACCTGCTAGTGTCGTCGTCGTGACGGGGTGAAGTGCAGGCAGGCATGTGGAAGAAGAGAAGAACAAACTCCTGATGTTTTTTTCCGAAACTCATGCGGAAGGGGAAAAGGGGCCTCCATCTTGGCTGTTTTTTTGGGAAACCGTGACGGATGTTTGTGTTGTGTCGGGAGGGGGGCGGTTGGGGAGGATGATTATCTTCTGCGTGTCCCCTAATCTGCACGTTGCGATACTACAGAGTAAGGGAGGGGTCGAGCTTTCTCGTGGGCGGGGGACATGATGCAGGTCGCTGGAAGACACCTCGGCTGCTAGATACCATCAGCAAAGTAGCGTACGAAGTCGGGCTAACGTATTTTAAGTTGGTACCGCCAAGGGTACCCTACTTGCTGCCCTCGAAACCGAGAGGGTGGTTGGTGGTAGGGCACAGCAGTGTGTCACGTCTTTAGGGAAAAACCTCAGCTATGTACCCAACAGATGCCCAATGTCGAAGAGCAAGTGCATGGCCGAGGGACGGATGAAGGCGGGCTGCTAACCTCTTCAAGCTATAGCTTTGTCGGTCGTTCGTGGTGTATGTCTCTGACGTTGACCGGTCCGCAAGTGACCCGGTGGAAAATATTGGTACATAGCGTCAAAAGTAGGCGCCGGGGAGAGCAAAAACGCCTTTTATCCGTGACGGTTTTCCAAGTCAGTCAGGGCAGAACAGGGTGGTTTAGCGGTGGTTGGCTTTGCCGAAGGGGACGGTCCAGAAATCGCACTCGAGGAATTAACATTGTGCTCCTATTTGGTATTTGAAGCAGCAGTCAAGCGTCGACAGATTGTTTCCCTCTCTATGTGCCGCCGATCGCTTGTATCTTGCCCGCGGTTGGGTCAGGGCACGTTGCATTTTTTTTGCGAGATAAGTCTTCAGGGAACGGCCGCACGGGCAACACGATATATCATGGTGGTGTACGCCTTTTTTTTTTTTTGCGTCTTGTTGGGTAGGAAAAGCGAGGGTTGGCGAAGGCTCTCCCGACTTGGCGGATGTATGGCACCCACTCTCTTGGCCACGTGCTGGGCTGGGGTGAGTGCTGCCTTGTGCATAAGATAGTTTTAGCAGTACACGTGCAGGAGGAGGACGGGGGGGGGGGGGGTACTCCTAATCGTGGATGCCGTAATCATTAAACCATTGACCTCCCATCCCTACAAAGCCGGGACGGAACACGCCGGGTTCTCCCCGGACCAGGGTCTCCCACACGGGGGGGGGGGGGGGGGGGGATGAAACCTGGCCTCTGGGAGAAAACGCCCCAACCTGAAGTGGAAAAACATGGGTACCAATGGGGGTGGGTGTCCATCCCCGGGGGCCCCTATTAAAATCCGGTTTTTTCTGGCTCCGGGAACTCCCCTTGACAATTGAATTTTTTTTTTTTTCCCTGTTGGTGGGGGGGGTTCCGGGCCCCTTGAACCCCCCCACGGTTTCCCCCCACCCCCCCGTTTTGCCCCCCCGGGCCA